GCGGCGGGGAGAGCCGCAAACCCTGCCGGTGCGAGCGGCACGGCTGCCGCACAAAGGGCTCTTCCCGGCGGAGCCAAGGCGGCTTACCGGGGCGGCGAGTAGGCATCCGCGGCTGCCACCCGCGCCCCTACCCCTGCTCGCAGAGATGTCTTTAACGTCTCACCAGCATCGAGTAGGCTGTACGGAAGACACGGCCCGCTTGTCCCTCCGAGAGGCTCGCTCTCCTCCCCCGCGCCTTACTGACCTTCGCAACAGGGTTTCAAGCGATGCAAAAAAACCTCAACAAGACCCAGCAACAGCAGCGAAGGGGAAATAACACCAAATAAATGCAGGAATAGAGCACCTAGAAGAAAGTAAGTTTGACGATGGGTAGTGGATTACTTGTCTGACGGGCAGTGGTGAGCTTTAGACACAGTGGAAGATATACCACCCGTCTTTGGCCATTATAAAGTATATTTATTGCTTCCCAAAAGAGCACAATAAAATTGACAGCCACAACCTGGAAAAAGAAATATGCGTTTTAAAAACAAAAACATAGAGTTATCTGCGTGGAGGTTAGACAGATCAACTTAATTAGCCAAAGAGAATAGCTACGTGTAAACACAAAATGATGCCCTGTTAACTTAGCTGTTATTTCTTAGATCCTGAAAACAAATCTTGCAAAATTAATGACCAGAGAAGCAATAGGGAGATCAAAAAAAGAGGCAAAGTCTAAACAACAACAGTTAGAACTCGGTGTACATAAATACCACAAGTTCAGTGTGCTCACATGAATATCCCTGCAATGCACACAGTTTATTATACTTGTTCTGAAGAGAGGCTGCCTCACTACAACAGGGAAAAAAAAACCCAAAAAAACCCAAAAAACAACCAAAAAAACCAAAGCAAACAAGAAAACCCTTAACAAGATTTGCATAATGCCAACACTGCAAGTTTCAAAACGGCAGACACAAACTTGTTAAAGTGGCTACATACAAAACAGGAGAATCCTTAGTGAAAGTAATGCAATCAGCATGTTAGAGGGATGAATCCAAGATGGATCGTGACCCTTTGTACAATCATTTCTCATGCATGAAAGCAAAAGAAGGGGGGATTTTTATGTATTGTCCACTCTTCAATGGTCTCTGTTTTGAAAAGGGGCAAATAAAAGCCATCAATAAATCATAAATCTTACATTAAGAACAAGCATGCACAATATACTTACGGCTTAGCATTTTTTCCCGCTAGTGGGACATGTGCCATCCATTACTTATGAAGATGAAAGGTGTATCATAAAATACAGTGGTATTGGGTTATATATGTATATAGATAGACAAATCAGAGAATTAATGCAACAGATACCACCAATACATGTGTTACACATTTGTAACATTCATCTGGAGTGTATATTCATTATTAAAGCTACTTGTGGTTTCCTTTGTATTGCTCAGAATCTTACATTCAGCCCCATCTCATGAAGAGAAATGTACCCCGAGTAAATGTAGCATGAGCTTAAACTGCCTGTCATTGTCCGTTCTTTCTCTATAGGATGTGCATTTCTGCTTGTATGGTGTTTTTTTTTTTTGGGTTTTTTTTTTTTTTTTTCATCCAGATATTGACTTTTCCAACTATGTTGCACACAGCTTCTGTTTTCCTGTGTAAACAAACATGTACAGGGTGATTTCTGCATCTAAAGACCCTGCAAATGTGGTGTATACTTTAACAGTTTCACTGCCAAATATGTTTTTCAGATCAGGAATTTTCAAATGGTATCAACTTCCTATCTGCACATAAATGAACTGCAGATCACAGGAAATTTGATGTCTTTACAATGATTTTCCAGTTTACCTGTAGATTGCTATGCACTAGTCCACTTGATTTCATGAAAGGTTGGAAAAGTAAGAAAAATCTCTTTGGAAGAGGCAGGCCAGTAAATGTGTTCTAGCCCCAGGACCATACTTGATGACACGTACTCTGGGCAATGCTGCAAGTGCAATCAGTAAAGAGGCCGTGTCATTCCCACTGTTGTCAAGAGAACAAAAATTAATGTGGAGGCCTTGGAAAGAGGCTAGATATGATCTGATCTGAAGACCATATGAATTTGTGCTATGTGGTAGGACAAAATCTGTGTGTGAGGAGTGACTACAGTAAAGAGAACAAGGGCTGGGGAAAAGACAAAAAAGGGCGAATGTCAGTAGGGCTAGAAGAAAGCAAAGATATATGGAGAAATAAGTAGAACCATAGAGGGGCAGAGGTGAGAGGCATGTTTAAGAAATTGAAAGTAGTGCCATAGGAAACAAGTAATAAGGAAGAAGGAGTGAAACTAATGGTGAAAAGAATGTAAAAGAAGGAGCATGCCAGAAGGAAGAATGAAGACCAGGAAGATGGAGGCAGGGCAGGAAAATGAAAAGAACACAGCTTCTTTCTTGGAAGTGCTATGTGTGTGTTTGTGTTTGATGCCAAGGCTGTGACAAATCAGATGCTGCCATCGATGACAATGATTTGGTGGTACTCAGCTGCAAAAGTTTTCCAGTTTCTCTCACAATATTTTGCTGTCACGGCTACAATTGCTCTTAATATATTTGACAAAACATGGCTATGTTTATATTCACTGCAACATTATAATTGTTTAATTATTTGCCACTCCTGGGTTTGTAGATTATTTCTTTATTCTAAAATAAAAATGCTTTTTCTTTGTTTATTTTGTTTTTAAGAAAGCATTGTTCTTGCAAAAGAAAGTACTCCCCCACCTTCAACCTCCCCCC